GGGGGAGGAGGAGGAGGAGGAGGAGGAGGAGGAGGAGAAGGAGGTTCTGGATTTGGATCAGTGACAAAGTGCCCTTGTTTTAATTTCCAGTACAAAAAAAAAAAATTCAAAAGGAAATAGAAAACCAGATGATGATTTTATTTATGCTCAGGAACATAGAAACAGTAAGATAGACTGCCCCAGGATGATCTCTACTTAAATCTTTGTGTTGGTTGAGAAACAATTAAAAATTTACCTGCTCTGGATCCAGACAGAGACCATCTAGATTTGAGTCCTCATATCTCCACCTATTTCTGAGACATATGGAAGTTTGTTAATGTGTCTGAGACCCAGCATTGTTATGTGTCTGGATTTTCACTTGATACAACTGCATTGAATATAGATTTAAAAGATACTGGATGCTCCCTATGTGATTAATATGTGATAGCTCCATACAATAAGGAGAAATATGAGATATCATTATTATTATTGCCATTGAGATTTAGGCTGATCACTATATTTTGACTTATATATCCTCTGACATCAAGTTATGGTTTTCCCAGTTCCCTGTAGGACATTTCGTTTTTCTCCTTCTGTGAGTAAACACTGAATATTTGGGGAGAAATTACAAAGTGTATCATTCTGGTTTCCCAGAACCTACACCTTGCTTGGCACATGACACCCATCAAGGATTAAAATCTTGTTAAATACTGTTAGACCCTTCCTTAGTCCATAGAAACAGAGCATGGCGGGTGGCTACTCACCCTCTGGCCATTTATGCCTGTGCTTTCCTCCTTCCAGGGACATCTCAGAGGACGAGAGATAAAATAAAATAATGCTTTTGTCTATGTATTGGAAACAAGGGACTCATTATTTAAAAAAAACATAGCAACACTGAGTTATTCAAAAGTCATAGAAGAAAATTCCATGAACATAAAAAAGTAGAGGTACAAGGAGAAAAGACAGGTGAACCCTATTGCTTGGGCTCAGAGTCACTGGAGGGTTTCAAGTCACTCCATGTCTCATGAACTTCACCAAGAGACTGTGTTCATCAATAAACTGGCTATCCCCATAGTGATTGAATTCTTCATTAAAAATAACCACTTTGTTGTTAAGCCTCAAACTTGCATCAGTTTCTACATAAGTGCTTGATATGGGTGTTAATATCCATATTTCCAGTAGGGAACATGAGCACAGAGAGGTGGAGAGAAGAAAGATCAGGGCCACCTACCGATCTCCTGAACCCAGAACAGGGGCCTGTTCTCTCCAATGGAGCCAAGGGACATATTATTTCTTACACAGAAAATAAAATTTCTTTGTGCTCTATCATGATTATTGTTTACATATCTTAATAACAGGAGAATGTGTTTTATATTAACTAATCTTTACATTTCACCATAAGTGTAGGTAACTAATGGAATCATTGAACATGCATAAACTATTAAACTCAGGTAAATATCATGTACATGTCATGGAAAATGTCTCCTTTAAAATTTTTATAAGTATTTTTAACTGGAATATTTATGTTATATGGTGTGACATTGCAGAACATGTACACAATGTGGAATTATCAAGTCAGGAAAATCTGGTACCCATAACCTTCAAGATTCATCATTTATTTGCATTGGGAACTTTGAAAATCCATTCTTTGAGCTGTTTTGAAGTAGGTAATTTGAAGTAAGTAATTATTGAGAACTATAGTCCCCTCTGGTGCTACAGATACCAGATTTTATACTCTTCCTTTACACTTTCCTTCCTTCCTTTCCTCCTGGATTTCTTTCCTTTCATACATGGTATTAATCCCACAGGAGCTCTGCCAGTGAGTTACATCCCCATCCCTTTTTAGTTTTTACTGAGACAAAGTTTTACTAAATTGTTGAGGCAGGCCTTAAACTTGTGATCCTCCTGCCTCAACCTCCTAAGCAGCTGGGATTAAAGACTTGCACTACCATGACGGACTCTTTTCTATAAGGGTGTTTTCATACCTAATAAGCAACCTATCTCTATGCCCCCATCCTCTTATGTTTCCCAGCCACAATAGTACTTATGCTATTCTCTACTTATATGACATCTATGTTTTTATCTTTACATCTTCCATATGTGAGAACATATAGGTATTCCTTTTGGGGATTTATTTCACCTATATGATATCTACTAGTTAAATCTAAAAGATGAAGAATGTATAATATGTCAAAATTATTCACCTTTATAGCTGAATAATATTCTGTTGACTATATATACCAAATGTTCTTTATCCATCCATCCATTGATGGAAACCTTGACTGTTTCCTATCTTAACTATTAGGAGTTGAGTCACAAGTAGAGACACACAAAGATTTTGAAGACAATGTTGCAAAATAAACTGAAAAATTAAGTGATGTTCCTCGATCATATAATGGCTTATATCTGTAAAAGAGTTTGAAGTAGATGTTCACTGACAGACTTAAAATGTTGATGCAAATCAGTTTTCTTCAGGAACAGTAAGTATTATGTACTATTTAAATGAGACTTGGCTACCTTTTAGGCAAACTTGTAAGAACTGTTGTAAATTTATTAGATATCTAATAAATTTAGAAGTATAAAATTATCAACTGGAAAATTATGTTCTTCCTGCAGATAATGCTGTGTCCCAATTAAAATACTTGAAATAGATATACATACTTTATCGTGAGAGTCAAATACTTGTGACACACAAGGTCACACTGAGGAAGCGTGTGTAGGACATGGTTCAGTTGTTATCATTTCTGTGCAGTGGGGCAGGTTTTACTATCTATGACATTCACTGCCATAGGAATTCATTTCTAGATGATCTGTATCCACAGGGAAAGAAGGCTCCTTATAGGATGGATGTGTGAAGAATGCATAAAATGAAGTAACATACAATTTTGGTAATCTTCCTAACATTTAAATTAATCTTCATGCAATTCCATTTAAATCTCCTGTGATCTGAAGTTACCACTTCCCTATTTCTGTAATGGTGCATTTTATTTTCTCCCATAAACATATATTTAAATATGTAGAGAGGAACCCCCTCTTTCATTTATGATCACCCACAACTTTCTGTTCTTGGCATAGAGTTGACATCACCAATAAAACTTATTTTATTCATTAAATACGCTTTACTCAGTTCACAAAAATTGGGCAGAGTTAGTGGGGCTCCAACACACTTTTCTGTCTAGTACTTTAGCACT